AAAAACCAAAAAAAAAAAAAAAAAAAAAAGATGTGATTATGTTATAACTTGAAATGTGCTTTTTCAAATGCTACCTCGGCTTTTGTTTTTACCCTCACCTTTTTCAATTCCAAAATAATGGGTTTGTTGCTTCTGGCAACCGTAATGCCACCACTGCAATATGGTTTGGGCTGAAGATGTAGCTCGGTGATAGCGCGCTTGCTTAGCGTGTACAGGGCCCTGGTAGTCTGGACCCATTTTAGTACATTTTCGCTTTCTCATCAACAGATGTTATTGTTCAGCTGTTCACATCTGGGCAGCAAAGAGAAGATACTTCTCGAGGGCAGAGAATGAGGAATTCTGTAAAGTCCATCTGGCACAAAAGCTTAGCTTTAACAAGTTGTAGTAAAATATATGTCTACCACCCAGAGACATTAGGTACATTCACGGTGTTCTGCAGCCGTAACTCCACCCACTTCCAGAGTGTTTCCAGCATCGTGCTCTCTAGATCCATTACATAGTCACTCCCCGTGCCGCCGCCTCCCCTGGCGCCCAGCAATCTAATTTCTGTCTCCGTGGATCTGCCTATCCTAGGTCATCACATAAGTGGATTCTTACCGTATTTACCCTTTCGTGTCTTAGCACAGTGTGTTTAAGAGTCATTGATGCTATAATGTGTCCATGTCATTCCTTTAAGGCTAAATAATTGCATTTTTATGTTCTGCCTTTTGTTTATCCACTCATCTGCCAGTGGTCCTTTGGGTTGTTTCCAGCTTTTGGCCATGATGAATGCTTCTGTGAACATGGGTATAAAAGTATCCACATTCCTGCTTCTAATTTTTGTGGGTTTATATCTACAACTGGAACTGCTGAATCCCATGGTAATTTAACTTTTTGAGGAATTGCCATATTGGTTTCCACAATGGCTCTCATTTTGGAAGAGGTTCCAATTTCTCCACATCCCGTATAGCGTTCATGCTGACCTCCTCATGGATGGGAAGTGCTGTCTTGCTGTACCCCTTTTTGGTGCTGAGGATCAAACCCAGGGCCTCCAGCATGGTAAACACATGCTGTACTGCTGAGTTATGCCCCAGCATTGACTTCGTTTGCTTTGTAAATTGGTTTATTCCTAAATTCAGATGTATTTTTTTGGTCAGGAAATTGTGCATCACAAGCAAAATTTGCATGCACATTGAAGTGTGTCCATAATTTCATGGGATTCAGAAGGGTTGGGACTTTTTTCACTGAGTGTAAATGACATACATAATTGTCTTTACTAATAAAAAATTCTTTTGAGATTTCATTATCTTTTCTGAAATTGGCATTTTCAATAAGGATTGTTCACTATTAATATTCTATTAACTAAATATATTTGAGGAGAAAGAAAATTCCTGGTAGAATTTCCCTCTTAAAAGAATGCAAAAGCTGGACGTGGTGGTACACTCCTGTAATCCCAGCACTTGGGAAGCTGAGGCAGGAGGATTGTTGGAGTTCAAGGCCAGGCGGGGCTACCAAGTGAGCCCAAGGTCAGCCTGAACTGTATGGCAGACCCTGTCTCAAAAAAAAAAAAAAAAGAAAGAAAGAAAGAAAGAAAGAAAGAAAGAATGCAAGAAGCCAGGTATGGTATCGTACACCAGTAGTACCAACACTCTGGCAGTCTGAGGCAGGAGGACTGTAGGTTCGAGCACAGCCTGTGCCACTTAGTGACTTAGGAGACCCTGTCTCAATATAAAGAGGGAATGGTGATGTAGTTCATCTCAAGGACCCTGGGCACGTTTCCCAATACCAGGAAAAAAATCACAAAAAAAGAATGCAGGGGCTGAGGATTTAGCTCAATGGCACAGTGCCTGCTTGGCAAGTGCAAGGTCATGAGTTCGATTCCCGGTACTGGAAGAAAAACAGAAAAACAAAAAAAAAGAATGCAAGCAACATTTTGCAGCAAAAAATTGTAGCTAAGGTCTTCGGTTGGAGTAAGAAGCGACCAGGGATCAGCCCCGGGTGGTAGCTCAGGCTGCTCTGGGGCTCAGCGTTGTCCCTTCATGAGAAAGGGAATCTTGGCGGTGGCACTTTCCATGTTGTGAAAATGTCACCAGTCAGTTTCAGCCTTGTTATTTTTTGAAGGTGTTTGACCAGAGCGCACTTTCAACGGAAGCTAAAGAAGAAATGTACAAACTGTATCCTAATGCCCGGAGAGCACACCTTAAAACAGGGGGCAACTTCCCCTACCTGTGCAGAAGTGCGGAGGTGAATCTGTACGTACAGGTAAGGAGAGTTGATCATGTAAAGCTGTTTTGTCTTTTTCTCTGATGGCTGGTGAAGAAAGGGGATGACAGGACTGTCTGCGGGAACGGGCCTGGAATTGATGTGGTTTACATTTATAATTTTTTTTTTTAAAAAGAACAGATGCAGGATGTACTCAAGACCAGGCTGCAGGTGCTCCGAGAAAGGAGGGACGATGCTGTTGGAACTGGGGCTCCTTTATGGGTTTTGGGCGGTGAAAGTCTGTGGACTTTGATTATCCGTCTGTAGTCTTGGCTAGGAAGTGGGAGAGGGTGGGCCAGCCACACTGTGATAAAAGGGGGTCCACTCTTAGGTGCAAGAGGACCATTTATAAATAAAAAGGGAGTGGGAAGACCCACTTCTTAGGTGAAAGGGGGAGTTGCCCAGGTTTGCTGTGTTTTGTGAGAAAAACTGCTTGTGTCCTGAAGCTGCAGTTTTCCTTACAAGTACAGTGTTTTAAATCTTGGTTTCCTTGTTTCAAGTGAGACGGAGCGGGTGCCCTTGTATCCCATGCTTGTGTGTGCAGGCGCGCATTTCCTAGGGTGTCAGGAGTCTTTGACTGCTGGAAAAGCAAGAAAAAGACCCTACAGCTGCAGAGGGAGAGAGAGAGGAACCATGCTCAGAGGGCCAAGGGGACCATAGCTAAGAAACGCAAGTCACCCTCTGTGCCGCTTCTTATGACCCTTGTGGTTGCCAAGACAAATGTCACTGGGCTGGGTCGAAGAGTCCCCAAGGCTGAAATAAGGAACTTAGCCCATCTTTCAAATAAGTTGGTGGTTTCATTGACCCCTGTTGTGGAAAAAGGATTTCTAGTAGAGATACAGGACGCACTTGTGTGGAGCGCAGGTGCTCAAAGACAGGAGGCGCCTCCGTTTATTGATTGACTGATTGATTGATTGATTGGTCTTTTTGAGACAGGGTCTCACTATGCAGTGCAGGCTGGCCTTGAGCTCACTTTGTAGCCCAGGCTGGTCTCGAACTCAAAATGATCCTCCTGCCTCAGCCTCCCGAGGCCTGGGATTACAGGTGTGCGCCACCATGCCCGGCCTCCATTTTTAATTTGTAGACTTCACACAGCTCGAGCCCCTCCGCCTGTATCCCTGTCCTAGAGCAGCCGTCCTGTGTCCACACCTGCAGTGGCCTCTGGTGTCATCAGCTTCGCCTCCTGCACAGGGTGAATTCGGCCACAGTGAGACAAGGCCTAGCTGAGGTGCCGCTCGGCCTCATCAAGCAATTTCATGATCTCACTTTAATGCATTGAGTGAACCATCTGCCGCTTCCTCATCCTCTGCCTAGATACTAGGATAGCAGTGGCAAGTGATTGATGTGGGCCAGTTTGGCACAAGCTGGTCGTGTCCTTTGAGCCTTTCATCCACCTGTGGAAGAAGGTCCCACAGAGGAAGGTAGAAAAACGGGTGCCCAGACACATGCATCCTGGCGTAAGCAGGAGAGCAGAAAAGGAGTGGAAGGGAAGGGGAGCAGCCGGCGGCCACTTACGATGCCTGCAGAGGGGCCTCACAGGAACAAGGCGCCACTGGTAACAAAGAGCCATTTGGGATCAGAGATCCTGCATCGTGGATCTTAAAAATGCTTCTTTGACTTTTCTGTGTTTACCAATTCTTCTCTGATTAGTCTTTTCTAATCTGTAATTTTAGAGTAAAACATTTATGTACCACAGTGGCACTTTGCTGCAGAGCTCCCTGTGGAAGACAGCATGCGTTCTGCTCTGCACTGCACGCATTCAGTATTGTTCAGGCTGGTTGCAGTGCTGCAAGGCCATCATCTCCGCTGCTCGGGAAGCCGAGGCAGGAAGGTTGCAAGCTGGAGGCCAGCCTGGGCAACTTAGTGAGACCTTGTCTCTAAAAGGGCTGGGGTCTGCCTAGCGTATTGATCCTGGGTTCAATCCCAGCCCCAAGCAGATTCTGTTTGTACAATGATCAGAATGATTTTGCATCGCTACAGATACATTTGCTGCAATTCCACGGAACCAAATACGCTGCCATTGACCCATCCATGGTCAGTGCCGAGGAGCTGGAGGTGCAGAAGGGCAACCTGAGCATCAGCCAGGAGGAGCAGTAGACGTGGCCGTGGATGCGGTGACCTGCGCGCTCGTGTACAATCAGTGACGTCAGTACCCACCGTCGGCCTCCTCCAGGTGGCCGGCTCTCACTGTGCTTGGGAAGTGGGACTGATTGTCACCTTCCTGACAGGTGGCAGCTCTTCCAAGCCAGTGTGACCACTCCCTCTTCGGTTTTTTTAGCTTTTCAATTTGAAGAACTTTTGAAGTCTCATTTTAAGAACAGTGAATATTTTGCTACCAGAAGTCTTCACTACTATGCTAAGTGAATGTTCATTTCTGAGGTTTGGGGATATTTTTTCTTCTCTTTTCCTGTCTTCTGTCTTGCTTTTTATGTTATTTACTATAAACACCACACATCAAGATCATGTATCAGAAGGACATGGGTTATTTTTGTGCTTTGAGGGCATAACCATTATCACAGTGCCAGGACTAGCACCCTGCTGTCAGCTCACCTGCAAATCAGCTACTTCTAATTTCCAGTTAAGTGCATTGTTTTGACTGTCAGCAGTTGTCTTTCTAGACATTACAGTGGTTTGGAATAAAAATTCAACTTCAGTGAGTGGCCTTTGTAGTTATTGTTGCTGCCTGTCGGGCTGCATCAGTTATTTTTGCTGGTTCTGTGTGGGTTTGGGTAAATCACTTCATCTCCCTAAGCTGAAGTTTACTGATGGTAAAAATCACAGTTCCTGTTATATATGGAGCTGCTGCCGTGTTCCAGGTAACTTCTCCTTCATTTGTTTCTTTCCTCCATGTAGAAATTTTTAAATACACATAAAGTAGAAAAAAATAGTATAATGACCTATGTCCCTGTCACCCAGGTTTAAAAATTCCAGTTGTTGGAGAGTCTTGTTTCATCTGCTGGGAAACCTGCTCTCACTTCTGCACACCCCCATCACTGGATTATCTTCAAGCCTCTTCTAATACCGTGTCTTTGCTACATGTGTGCACAAGAGATCAAACAGGTTATTTCGTAACAGGTTGGAATTTCCAGAGGTGTAAAAGATTACATTCGGCTGAGCATGATGGCTCAAGCCCAGCACTCAGGAGGCCGAGGCAAGAGGAGGAGCACTGTGTGCTCAAGTTCAGGCGGGGCTGCAGAGTGAGTGCAAGGCCAGCCTGAACTGCGTAGTGAGACCCTGACTCAAAAGGAAAAAAAAAAAAAAGTTTGCGTCCAATCTACATATTTGAAAACTATGATTAATCAAATTGTTGGCAGTCACACAAAGAACAATAACTTTTCCACAGCTGAGTTAATTTTATCTAAAGCTAGAAAAAGACACATTAACTATTATTGTAAAAATAAAAAAAATAAGGTTCTTGACCAGCAAGGCAGTGAATAGAGGCACCCAGTGCTCACAGCTCCCCCACAAAGAACCAAAGTGATGCAGGTATAGCTGTGTATTGAGGACCCCAGGATTCAACACTAGGGAAATGGACACCTTGTCAACAGCCACACAGCAAGTGGGACAGTGTCCTGTGACCTGGCAGCGCGGCTCCACAGGACGACAGTGATAAGCGGAGTCCCAGCCAACTCGGCACAGGTCGTGACAGCTATGCGAGAAGTGTCGCAGCCCTTGCAGGTTTAAGAGTAGATAGATAAGAGACTTTGAGTCTGCACAATAGTCTTATGTTTGGAAAAGGAATTCACTTCATCTCCCAGGGACCCCCTAAGGGTTCTGTAGGCAGGAGCCATCTTGGGTGGGGACCTGTTCTCTGAATTTGGCCTATTTTAGGGGCCAGAACATCCTGTGTCTTCCCATCTCAGGGGCCCCCAGATATCGCGCTCAGGAATTGGCCTCCTCTCAGAGTCAGCCTTGGCCCCAGAGAGTGACCAGCACAACCTGATGAGCGTGCTCCTGGGAGGAGGCTGTCCACCACAGCCAGGGCATCCGAGAGCAAAACAAAAGTGAACAGGAGTAGGGAGATCTTTCTCACATGGGAAGGGATCAAGGGGAGGGAGGGAGGCTGGGAGGGGATGGAAAAAGGAATGAAGATGTGTTCTGTACATGGGCTGACTACACACAAGGAATACAAATATTGTGCTGCAAACATGGACTAATAAAATTTTTAAAATACCTACATAAAAAAGATATAACAGTTTTAAATGTACATGCAGTCAGTATTCATGTGCCCAATTTCATAAAGCAAACAGTATTAAACATAAAGGACAGGTAGGTCTCAAAATAATAAGGTGACTTTGTAACTTCTTTCTCACCAGTACACGTGTCATCACACCAAAAAATCAACAGAAAAGCTGAATTAAACTGTGTTGTAGATTGAACAGAACAGATGTCTACCAAACTTTCCACCTAAGAACTACAGAACATCCTCCCCGGCATCGGTTGTATTTTAGGCCTTAACAAACACCAAAAAATGGAAATAATTTCTTGCATCTTATCACACTGGCATGAAGGTAGAAATCAATAGCAAGAGAAAAACCAAAACTATATAAGCACATTGAGATTAAATGATTCACTTTTGACTAATCCTTCAGTCATTGAAGAAATCAGGAAATTTAAAAATTCCTAGAGTCAGAGGAAAATGCAAACAGCCTGGCCCTGTGGGCCTCACTGCATTGCTGTCCCTACTACAATCCGCTGAGTTCTGTGGCGAGTTCTTCAAGAACCGCTGGGGCCTGTCAAGGCAGATGCATGTGACTGAGTGGGATGTCAGTGGCTTGCCCTGTGACACGCCATGTGGGACCCTGAAGAGATGGAGCTGTCTTGGCCTAGTGAACACCCTTGTCCTCTGGAGCCCTGCCCCACAGTCCTGGCCAGGTTGTGGGCAGCAGAGGTCCTGGTAGCTCACTAGAAATCCACAGCCCTTTGGACCTTCACATCTCACCCCTGACCAAGAAGTTGCCACCATCACCAGGAAGCTCCCTGGGCTGCACCCGCAACTGCTTCCTGTCCTTCGTTGGAAACATCTTCCAGGCCTGGCTGTACCCTCCCTACCCTAGATGCTGATGCTTGAACACATGAGGGTGGTGATCAAGTGGGAGATGCTGCCCGGGGACCTTTGTAGGGAGTTGCTCCCATGTGAGGGTCCCTGGGGGGATGCCATGGGACGACATGACACCCTTGAACCTGTCATTTCAGACAGAGATGGTATGTGACCCCCCGACACTACAAATCCAGCTACTCAGGCTCCCACTTGTGGCAGACTATAACTGAGTGGTCCAGAATGGGCTACACAGTGGCACCCTTTTCGAGATCCTGAAGGAAGTCCTAACTGTGCCTCACTAGGAGTGAGCTGCAACTAGAGAAACACACACATAGCAACCCATTTGGGACCCCATCTGTCTCTTAGAAGCTTTCTTTCCCCAGTAAATATATTCTGCTCTGCCTTAGTGTTTTAGGCAAGTCTGTTTCCTGCCTGCTTGCTAAGTGACTTAACTTCCATTGTTCCTAAAATTCACTCTTTGACTTTAGAGAACATGATCTCATACAGGACATCTAGCAGGCTGGGAGTTCCTTTCCCCTGTATCATTTGGAGGTCCCACTGAGATCATTGGATGGAGGTAAGAGTGCTTTTGTTTCATGGATTCTGGATTAGGATTCATTTAGGTAACAAACTTTTATGCTTGAAATTTTGTTATGTCTTTACTCATTGCTTATAATTGCTTATGCTTTGTCTCATATAGTTTTGTTAAAATGATGATAAATTTAAATTAAAAACATGAGAGGGTTATAAGGTTATGATACTTTTTTAAAATGGAACATTTTTTATTCCTATTTTGTATGTGTTGCATTTAAACTACTGAATTTACTGGTATTCCTTGCTTGACTTTGTTTAGAAAATGGCACCAGAAAGAGTAATGTTAGAGTGCCCCCTAGTGGAATTTAATAAAAATTATGTAAAATGGGTCTTTTAAAATGAAATGTAGCTCATACTTAGAAAATATACCTGCCTGTATAATAAAACATGGGACTCCTTCCACCCAGTGAAAAGACGCTAGGTGGGTGGCTGTTCGTAAGATTTGGAGCACAGGCTTCACTGGGACAGACCAACTCTGATCCTCCTCCACACTCTAGAGGAAATGTTAAGCCTGTTCTGTTTGTTTCCTTTCACTGGCCTTACTTCTAACATCTTCCTACCACTTTGTACTTTCCGTTTTTTTAGAGGCATGTAAGATTAGAGAAAAGAGAATTATAAATTGTTCCAACCTTTTCCTCCTATTCAACAACTAAATTGAGCCCATAGAAAATGAGTGTTTGCTAATGCTGAAGACAGAAAAGTCCTCTTAGAGGGACACAGACCCCACCTCTGGATCAGATGAGACATTAGATGCCCATCCAGGAGAACATGCACAAAAGCCATGTCCTGCCTTAGTGTTTTCTGCAAGTCTGTTTCTGGCCCACTTGATAACTGGCTCGCTTCCCCATTTGATCCCCATTTAATCAATATTACCTGAGCAATTTTGCTGGTACTCTTATTGGTTGACCATAGTTTTGTCCCACCTCATGCCCACCTTGTGATTTCCCATTTTTCCCACCTTGAATCTGCCTCATTTTGTGGTTTTGCTCTATAAAAATCCCTAGAAAAGGCAGGGTCCTTGGCAACCCAATTGGGACCCCTTCTGTCTCTCTCTCAGAGAGAAACTTTCTTTCCCTAGTAAATATATTCTCTTTAAAAGAGAGAGAGAGAGAGAGAGAGAGAGAGAGAGAGAGAGAGAGAGAGAGAGAGAGAGAATGAGAGAATACCCCTTTGGCCTGGGGAGCCCTCACTGCCACTGTGCCCTCTGCCTGGGCTGCCAGGTAAACCAGGAGCTGGGCCAGCGCAGGTGGCCAGGAGCTCAGGCTCATGCCCATCGCTGGACCCAGGCCCTCAGCCACCAGCTTTCTGGGCTTAGTGGCAGCCAAGCGGCCCCTGAAGGACAGCCTCATCCCAGCAGAGATCAAGGCCTGGACGTCCATCCACACTGAACTGCCCTTCTCTGTGAGATGACCACCCACTCTTGTAGAAAGTGGGGCAGGGTCCTGCAAGGCTGGGTAGTGGCACAAATACCCATACTGACCCAAAGCAGGGTCCCTGACAAGACATCCTCATGGCCATCTGGGTATGCCTGGCCCCTTGGGGCCCTGGTTCAGCAGCATCCCGTCTGCTGCAACCACTGAGAGTTCTGAAAGCTGCAAAGCTCTGGTGAGTCCCATACAGGCACAGCTGCAGTGGTTGGGTGTGACAGAGCGGTGTGTCACTGCTCAATGAGACACTGAGCATTCTGGCCCTGGAATATAGGTGCCTCTTGCAACTGCATTGAGGATGGCCACCCCTTGGCTAGGAAGTTCTACAGCACTGACCAAGACTGTAACAGTGACAGGCAGCCAGCTGCTCCTGAGGCTGGCACTGGGGGCCTGTCCTTAGGTTGGGCACTGTGGTATGAGTGCATGGCCAGGATCTGGGTCAGCCAGCCTGTCAGGCACCATGAAGGCTGAGGACACCAGCACCAGTGTCAATGAATTTGAGCACTGACACTCCTGTCCCTGGCACACTTCCATGGCCCAGGGGAGTGGAGATGCATCACAAACTGGAAGAGGTATGGCAGCACCCACACCAGCA